CTGATCTTGATGTTCCTGGAGCGTGCCCTGGTCGCCCAGTTCTGTTCACCGTCACGAGGCTCACCTTGCCGTTCACGACCAGCACGTTCGTGAGGCTCACCTTGCGAGACTTGTCGCCGCACGTGCGCACGAGCGGTAGAGCTTGCCGAAGTCCTGTGCGTAGAAGCCCTCGATGGAGACCGTGCCCAGGCCGTTGTGCTGGATGACCTTGTCGTCGGCCGAGCGCGCGCCACCGCCGATCACCTTGGTCACGCTGCTGGCCGAGCCGCCCTTGATGCTCAGCGCGTCCTCGCACACGTCCTCCCACCACACGTTCTGGATCGTGCAGCCGTTCTGCTCGCAGTGCACGCCCTCCATTTGGTCCTTGCCGATGATCACGTTCTTGAGCGTGGCACCGGGCTCCACCATGAAGACGGCTGTCTGCCACCCGCTCTCCTTCTGGCCCCCGTACTTGACGTTCGAGCGCGCGTACGTCTTCATGCCACCGTCGAATGTCTGGCCCTTCTTGACCGTGTACGGCTCCTTCAGGTAGACCGTTCCCTTGCTGGCAGGCCACGACCCGGTGGGCATGGGGGCGGCCTCGGAGCGCATGGAAGCGCCCGAGGCGACGGAAACCACGGCGGCGACTGCGACGGTGAAGACGGAGATGACGTTGACCATGTTGAGGATGGAGTAGTTGAGTATCGAAATTTGACGGTTGGTTGCTTGGTTGCTGGTCGGTTGCTTGCAGCGAAGAGCAGAAATTGAGTAATGAGGTGGGGTGAAGAAGTCTGTCCGGCGTTCGGCTCTCAAATATCGCGACGACGGCAGTTGTTGGTCGAGGTGCAACCAGGAGTGTGTTCGATTGTCAGTCACCGAGAAAGCGGTAATCGTTATTGATAAGCGGACAAATACTGTCGTCGTTGCCGTGAACGCCGGATCCTGGATGCCAGATGCAGAGGTGACAACAGCAGTAGAGAGTTCGTAGGATCACTTGACGTCTACAGTCGGCTGCAGATGGACACGAAGATGACCACTGTGTAACACCGTGTGTTAACGCCACATGCGACTAATTTTCCTGCCTCGTATCCAGCTGTGCCGTTCGTCCATAAGAGGAGGTGGCCCGGGCCCTTAACACCTTTTGACACCATTTTCGTTGAGCATGGCGGCGGCTAGCAGAAAACAGTGCCCCCTCCCGATAATCTTGGCAGTTCCTGAACAAGACTTACACCAATAGTCTGCCAAGGATATAAATTACTATCGTTTTCCGTCCTACCCTCGCAACGTCGATTAACGAGGAGGTCAAGTACTGTACATGTAGTTTTAATTGACTAATGTTAATCACGAAACAAATCGTAACCTCACAAGATCTCAGACGGCCCATCTGATGATCGGTGCCTCGAGGATTAGCGTCGAATGGCGACTTTTCAATTTATAGTATTAATACAGCAAATATACTAAGAGAACGGACAGCGAAACCATCGCTTGATCACTGCGGCATCGTCGGTCAAAGTCAGCCTACGTTTCCGCGTTGCGACACATCCAATCTGGTTCCCATGCATAGAATGTGTGGGGTTGAAATGCGATTGTAAGGCGACTACGCACTCGGACTCGGACTGGGTCACAACGTGGCTCGTGAGAGCGGCCAATTCTACCTCGTTGTCGCCGACAACTTGTCGGTACCGAACACAGCGGAGATTTGATATCCGCCGGTTGCGCCGAAACTTCGAAGTACCAGCACCACTTAAAGACCAACGCAGAATAACCACCCGCTCAGCTGAAATACCAGTAAATATGGCTTCGATCTGTACACCACAATTAGTCAGGGTATGACTAATTAGCGTGAACGGGTGTACTGTATGGGTCACGAAAGAGAATTGAGCGTCATCGGGTTTTTTATCATCTTAAGTCTTTAATCACTTGATCACCTCCATTTTGTAATAACAACCGGTCTAATTTTAAAACCCATTCTTTAGATCTGATCATTTTCGTCGAATATCCCGAATTTATGATGTCACTATAAAGTGCAAATCCACGACTAATTGCGAACTACGACTATTAATAATTAGCGTGAACGTGTAACAGCATCGGGTCTTCTCGAATTGTTCACGGTAAATCTTGGTCGATTTATGAGCGTGAGCGAATACAACCAATTAAGACGCGAAAGAGTGCGCACATGACAGCACAGTGTGTGGCTGCACAATTAATTGAACGAGAGTGTATGTATATATACGCACATCACTGCTGGGCACTGTAGGCACCCTGCAAAAGCACCGCTTCTAAAGCAGATATATCGTGTTGGGTGGTCAGTGATATTTCGCAAACACCCGCTCCGTGCTTTCGGTTTCCTTCTGACAGAAGCTGCCCAGACACTAGTACCGCGTTCTCCCGCGTTATGATACAATCCGCTTCGTTTATACCGGAGATCGGCATGTATTTACATAAACATCTTTATTTGTGAAACAAAGTTGACACCGTACAGCGTGGCTTCAAATTAATACTGAGCGTCTTAGTTGTTGTGAGTTGAAGCAATAGCAAGGGAACATTGCCCGGATACCGGTCTTACCGCTGATCGAAAAATGATCATCCCGTGACCCCCTCACTGAGAGCGGTGATATAATATGAATAGATAAGACAGTAATAGAACTCTGTCTCGTCTATTAGTCATCAGCATCGCAGAAGTAGATAAAAATACAAACAATAAAAAGAAAGTGAAGCACATCTAAATTTCTATTGATTTACTCATGGACAAAACGATTAACGCCGATTCCACTACATACAAATGGCTAACAATGCTGGCGGACTACCAATCCAAACACGAGTCCTGGAGCATTGGGTATTGCAAACCTTCTAGCTTATGCGTAGGAGATGGTGCTGGTGGAGTACTGGCAGAGCGACCCCGACGGACCAGCGCCCAGGTTCTTGGGCTCGCCCGAAGTGGAGCCCTGCGACCACTGGCACACGTCCACCTTCTTGCCCTTGATCTTGATGTTCTGGAGCGTGGCCTGGTCGCCCCAGTTCTTGTTCACCGTCACGAGGCTCACCTTGCCGTTCACGGCCAGCGCGTTCGTGAGGCTCACCTTGCGAGACTTGTCGCCGCACGTGCCGCACGAGCGGTAAAGCTTGCCGAAGTCCTGCGCGTAGAAGCCCTCGATGGAGACCGTGCCCAGGCCGTTGTGCTGGATGACCTTGTCGTCGGCCGGGCGCGCGCCACCGCCGATCATCTTGGTCACGCTGCTGGCCGAGCCACCCTTGATGCTCAGCGCATCCTCGCACACGCCCTCCCACCACACGTTCTGGATCGTGCAGCCGTTCTGCTCGCAGTTGACCGCCTCTCCATTTGGTCTTGGCAGAGATCACGTTCTTGAGCGTGGCACCGGGCTCCACCATGAAGACGGCCGTCTGCCACCCGCTCTCCTTCTGGCCACCGCACTTGACGTTCGAGCGCGCGTACGTCTTCATGCCACCGTCGAATGTCTGGCCCTTCTTGACCGTGTACGGCTCCTTCAGGTAGACCGTTCCCTTGCTGGCAGGCCACGACCCGGTGGGCATGGGGGGCGGCCTCGGAGCGCATGGAAGCGCCCGAGGCGACGGAAGCCACGGCGGCGACTGCGACGGTGAAGACGGAGATGACGTTGACCATGTTGAGGATGGAGTAGTTGAGTATCGAAGTTTGACGGTTGGTTACTTGGTTGCTGGTCGGTAGCTTGTAGCGAAGAGCGAAAATTGAATAATGAGGTGGGGTGAGGAAGTCTTCTCGGGGTTGCTCTCAAATATCGCGACGATAGCCGTTGTTGGTAAAGTGTCGTCAAGGTGCAACCAGGAGTCGGTTGGGCCGTCAGTCACCAAGAAAGTGGTAAACGTTAATGCAATGGGGACAAATCATGGACGCCAGATGTAGAGGTGACAACAGCAGTAGAGAGTTCGTTGGATCACTTGACGTCTACAGTCGGCTGCAGATGGACACGAAGATGACCACCGTGTAACACAGTGTGTTCGAACGTCACATACGACTAATTTTCCTGCCTCGTATCCAGCTGTGCCGTTCGTCCATAAGAGGAGGTGGCCAGAGGGGTCACATAATATGACTAATAGACAAGACAGTAGTAGATTCAATTTCATCAACATCATTAAAAGACATGATCAACGAGCTGTAAAATGGAAGTGGAAAACATCTAAATTTCTATTGATTTACTCATGGACAAAACGATTAACGCCGATTCCACTACATACAAATGGCGAGCAATGCCGGCGGACCAACAATCCAGATGCGAGTCCTGGAGCATTGGGTATTGCAGGCCCGCTAGCTTATGCGTAGGAGATGGTGCTGGTGGAGTACTGGCAGAGCGACCCCGACGGACCAGCGCCCAGG